ACCACATTGTATCGGCTCTTTACAACTGGAGGTTATCACCATCTATTATAGGCAGTCTTTGAGGATTTTTTTGTTGACTCATTGACACATTTTAAGCTTTAGTTGCATTGTTCTAATTTATATTAATCTTTTGTTGTTTTTGTAAGGTGTTTAAAGGAAAAGAAAACCCTCTGACACTGGAATGGAACAGGGTGAGAGTCTTTGACAGAGAGGTGGGGCAAATGTTCCTCAACATGGCCAAAACATCCAGAGAGGCTCGGGTAAGAGTCAAGCATCTCTATACCAAGAACCATTTTAGCCCGGGTGACGAGAAGCGGTAGGCTTAGGGGTGCACGATAGTTATCGGCCCGATATCAGGAAATTATGACATCATACTTATCGGTCCGATATCATAACAAACAGAACCAATAATATATGTACATGTTTGCCAGCGCGGCGATCAGAATGCGTATTTGTTTTTATCTGTTTTGGTCAAGCCGCTTCCCGTCCGACACGACCCGAGCAACGTTAAAGTTGCATTGGCATAAACAACTTTCTCACTAGAAAAATAATTAGAATACTCTGTGTTGAAAAACAACCAGTCATCTTAAGAATTATTAATATTATTTTACAAATTAACCCTGTACGTTATACACAAACTTTATAATTGTAAACATCTGAACAACTACTCCCAATTTGAGAACATGTAACGTCATTTATCTCCTGAATGCATCACAAAGTCTGTCTGCAAAATGCTAACAACAACAAGCTAGCGTTCAAGAACTCATCGGAACTTAAATCATTGCTGAGGCTTTTGACAAATCCAATAAAATTGCCAGAGAGAACGCAGATCTCAAGCACTTTAACGATGGAAATGATGACAACCACCCATTCACCCTCGCTAAAGACAGAAGATTTTATCTCCTTGTTAGCCATGGTTTCCCAGCTGAACAGCTGTTGCCTCTCTGTGTGTCTTCCTGTATGATATGGTTGTAATGCATTCACACTGATTGACAGGTAATCATTTCTGCACTATTATCTCAGAAGCACTGTTTCAGGTAGAAAAATATTTTAAATCATATATTAATAATATTAAAAACAAATGTACTTTGAATCTAACTTGTTAGTGCATTATCTGTTTTGAACTTGTGGAATGACTTTATTTTGTTTAAATCTGAGATCAGTGWTAAAGGCCTTTTTGTAATTAATGTGCCTTATTTAAAAAAATGACCATTTGAGAAATTTAGTTTGATATATTTTACGAAATGTTTGTTTGCTAAGAGTTTATTTCAAATAGTGTAATTTACAGTGTCATTTGGTTTTGATCTTGTTTATTTATGTTATGATTTTACCCATTTTGGACTAGTCTCATCTCCTGGCATGTTATTGGTTATCGGTTGTTATCGGTTATTGGCCATTAGAAGGAGAAAGTTATCAGTATCGGTTCTTAAAATGAGTTATCATGCATCCCTAGTTAGGCTGGTGGTTGTGGGTTGCACTGCATTTCAAGTGTAAAGGGTAAAGTTAYTTTATTTGTCATCAGCTCATGTTCCCATGCAATGATGAAATTTGTGCTTTGCTTTGACACATCACATGTGAGAAACACCTAAGTGGAGCAGTGGGGTGCAAAAGTTTGGGCAGCCTTGTTAATTTTCCTGATTTATTTTTATAAATCATTGATTGTTTGGTTTAAAAAAATCAATTAAATATATCATATTTACTGTATTAATTTGGAAGCCTTATCAACACGGACTGGCTTCATTCACTTCCTCCACTGCCATTGCTAAACTAACTAGCAGACACTGCACAGAAATTCATCATCATTCAAAACTCCGCCTTCTGTTCTCTGATTGGTCCAGACAAAAATTCTCCTGAAGCAGGGCTCTCAAGTTTTGACCTGAGTTTGGAGTTCGATTTTGACCCGCTGAACACTGTTGCCAACTCCTCAGTAAGAAAAGTTGCTTTCGGCCGTCCTAAGAAGGACGGGGAAGGCTCACGCTGCACATCCTCTGTCTCACCYACCGACAGGGGAAAAGAGGATGGGGAGAGAGGGAAATCCGTGTCTGCGTGAGCATTAGAGTGACGACATGGGCTTAAGTTCAGGCTGGAAAGATGGAAAAACAAAAGAAATCTGCTGTTTGGAGACCATGAGATCATGGCACCTTTGAAACGACTAAAGTTTACCGTCTCACTCTGTGTGGAGGATGTGTGTGAAGAAAAAACAGCATAATCATGCAATCTGACTGTAGTGTGAACATTTGCAAGGAATTTGATGTTTAGGAAATGTTTTTATTTATTTCAAAACATCTGTTCACAACCAAATTACACACACCCCCTATAAGAAGTCACATTTCATGTTTCTGTTGCATCTCCTGTGGTGGGTTGGACCAGAAACACGCCAACTGCAGACCTCTGGTACGTCGCTGCTCTAGGGCGAAATTCTGCTGCAACCGTTGCTATTGGGTGAATGTGGTGGTAGATGGAGGAGCCCATGAAGATGCAACAGCTGCTGTGGATTGCCTTCATTGCTGTCGCTGGTCCTGGTGTTCTCGCCAGCGACCAGCGATGTGGGACKTGCGAGAACCGGGGCGGAATGTATCCCTGTGCCTTTCAATTTGCTCTAGCGTGTCGTTCAAAATTTACAGAGACTCCAGTGTAGATTAGAACTGGAGTTCGGAAAGACTGTCTAGACTGATGGGACCCTCCAACAACTCTTTCCTAGGGTTGGGTATTGAAAGGGTTTAAATCGATACCGGTGCCAAATCGATACTTTCAAAACGGAACTGGTTCCTAAACGGTATTTAAATCGGTACTTTAAAAATAAATAAATAAAACACACACACTCACACAGAGGTTTATGAAACAATAACTATTTCTGAGGCAAAGTCAAACCTGAAATTGACCAACTTATTAACTTAAAACTTAAAACCATTAATAACTTGTCTTTGCACCAAATATTCTTAAAGCATTTGTTGTAGGATTAAGTTTCTGCATCTTATTTTGTAAAGTGACACCACACTTTGGACCATTTTGCTTTCGACATCTCGACTATAATATATAATAATATTATAT